AGCACAGGCTGCATAGCTTCTCAGCTTAGCTTTGTCCTACCACTGCAGCTTCACTGGGCATGGCCTTTCACATCTCTGTGCCTTTGCACTTGTTTTATTTCTCTCAACTGCCCTGAGTGCGCTTCTCCTTTTCTGTCACCTAAATTTGTCCTAATTATCATGTGAGCCCCAGCTCCATCGAAAACTTTTGTAAGCTCTCATATCTCACTTGACGTGGTGACTGCAGTAGTGGTACTGTGAACCAATGTGAATGTCTGGTCACATGTCTGTCTCCTCCGGTAGACTGAGCTCCATGACAACAGAGGCTTTGGCACAGTGCCTGACTCACACTAGGAACTTAATAAATACTAGTTGAATCAAGTATTCAAGGTAAAAAACAAGTTGAATCACTTCCAGTTGCTCATATATATATATTTTTTTTTAATGCTGACTGTGGTTTCTTTGACCCTTGTTGTCCTCCCAAGATACAATGTGGGTGTACTTGGAAAGTTAACCAAAGTGGTCATGAAAGTGATCACACCTGATCTTTGTCTTCCTGGTCACTTTGCCTGCCATTCAGTGATTCAATGGTTATTTCTATAGTGATAAAAGAGAAAACTGACAGAAAACAATGCTTTTTACTTGTGTCCAGGTAATGAGATCACCACTAATTGCCAAGATTGTCTTATTAAATGTTCAGTAACATCAGTGAGAGTGCAGAAAAGCCTTCAAGGGTATTTTCAAAAATCAGCATTTGCGGTGGCAAAATACTGGTTTAGAAAATATCTGAGATTAATAAGTCACCATTTTAGGACCTCTTTATATACCAGCTGGCCTAGCGAACACAGCACATAGGATGTGAGATGAAGGTCTTATATGGGAGTGGCAGCTTCAGACTTTGGCCCATAGTAACACCGCAGTCCTGGCTTGAGTTACAGTAAATGAGGCCAACTGTGAGCAAGTGTACCTACCTAAAATATTCAGTGTCCCCAGCATTAGATACATATTTTAGAGACATCAGGTCACAGCACATAGATTTATTTTGATATATAACAATACACTATTATGAAATGGAAGAAGAAAACAAAAGTACAAAGAGTCAACCATTTAACCTTTAGCAAGTTGGAATACTCATATATCTCAATGTGTAATTTATTTGACTAACTTCATTTTAATAAATACTAGATCCCTTCACTTAAAGCATCCATTAAGTTTAATTCATTAAAATCATACATATTACACAATGTTTGTTAAAGACATTAGTAGTTATCATATCCACAAAAGGAGGCAAAAAAAGTTTCAAAAAAAAATTTCAACATGGATCCCTGTACAGAGGAACAGAAATTTGAAATTTGCTGATAAAAGTTTAGAAACATTAATTTTCACAAAAAAAAATGTTTAGCAATTAACGAGGACTTAAAACCCCATACCAAACTGGCTTTTGTTATTTTATGTAACCGAAAAGTCTAAGATCTTTCTCAATTCTGGCACATCTCAATCCAGGGGGTTCAAATAATATTAACAAGGCTATACTTCTCTCCATCTTTCAGCTATGCTCTGAAAAATGGCTTCAGAATTGAACTTCAATCTGAGGCTCCCGCAACTCCAAGTCTAACTGAAGTACTACTGTGTCTCAATATTCTAAGAATAAAGCCCCCAAATTGAGACCCATGGATCTGTGCCCTTCCCAAAGCAATCACTTTGGCCAGGAGAACAGGATGTTCTGATTCGCTAGGCCTGGATCACGTGGACCCTCTTGGAACTGGAGGAGGGAGTCAACCCCATCTGGACTGTGAACTGAAAATGAGAGGGGTGGGGTGATTTCACAAAGAATATCCAGTGTGTTATTTGGAGAAGAAGAATGCATAGGTATGTTGGGAAGATGACACTTCTCTTCCCTTCCAAGGGCAGAGGGAGCTAACAGCCCCTTTTTAGACCCTATCATCCTATTGTTATTAGCTCCCTGGTGGCCCCTACCCTGATTTTGTTATCTCCAATTCTCTTTACCATACATTTTGGCTAACCCATGTCCTACATCATCATTCAGTTGCCTTTCTTGGACAATTCCAATTACAAATATGATGTCTTAGAGCCCCCGTAAACAAAATTTATATTTAGTAGGTCACATGTTGGAAAATATGCTCCTGACATGTAGCATCCCAGGAAGGAAGCACAAGAGAAAGTGACATGGAGGCTTCCCTCCATACCCTTCACCACCAAAATTGAGGAAATGTTTGGAAGGGGCTGAGATGCTACCCATGGGGTTTACTTAACAACTAGGAAACTTGCTCCTCCCTCTGCTTGAAGCAAAAAAACAAAACAAAACAACAAAAAACAAAACAAAAAAAAAAAACACAAAAAAAACAAAACCCCCAAACCCTAAACCTCTAGTAAATGGAAACTTTGGCAGCAGCCCAATTAATAAATTATGTGTGAGAAAACTTAAGAAACAATGGTGAGCCCTGGCCAGTATGGCTCAGTTGGTTGGAGTGTCCTCCTGGTAGACTGAAAGGTCACATGTTTGATCCCTGGTCAGGGCACCTATGAGAAGGCAACTGAGCAATGTTTCGTTCTCACATCGAAATCTCTCTCCCCCGCCCCGCCACACCCTTTCCTCTCTAAAAGCAATAAAAAAGTGGCCCTGGCTGGCATCACTCAGTGGGTTAAGCATCATCCTGCAAAACCAAAGGTCGCCAGTTTGATTCCTGGTCAGGGCACATGCCTCGATTGTGGGCCTGGTCCCCAGTTGGGGCATATGTGAGAGGCGACAAATCAATGTTTCTCTCACATGTCAATTTTCCTCTCCCTTTCTTTCTTCCTACCTACCCCTTTCTCTAAAATAAGTAACTAAAGTCTCTAAAGCAATGAAAAAATGTCCTTAGATGAGGGGAACAGAAGGATGGAAGGAAGAAAGAGAAACAATGGTGAGTACAAAGAGTGCAGGAGTCAACTCTGCACTCTTTCTACACACAGGCAGTTGAGGCAAAACCATGATCAGCCTAGGAAAGCACAGACTGCCCAAATAGAAGCCTCTGGGTGCTTAGGCAGGTGCGCCACAGGAGGGTGACAGCAGCAGAGGATGGGGGCAGACCTCAGGGTCCCAGCTCACTAAGTACCAGCAAGCAAAGCTCTCAGTGGGAACTTTCAAGCTGAGACAAAGGGAAGGGAATCCCCAGGGAATTGTATGGCAATGACCAACAAAGCTCTGAGTGGGGAGAAGGAGGCCTAGAATATTTTCAGGTAAAAATATCACTCTACATTTCTATTTTCTCCGTAAGCCATATTATTAAGTGGAGAGGGCTTTAAGGGGACTGTATGTGGAGGGAGATGCCAAGTAACTGTAACTGAAATTTGGCCCCCATCCTCTCAGTAGCAATTCCAAGTCCAACTGGGAGAAAGCAATTGTAGGAAGAATTCCATTATAGCTCAGTGCGGACTCAGGAATAATTTAACACTGTATAACATTTGACTGTTACACACGGTTGCTAAAAAAGAAAAAAGCCTAAGAAAGTTAAGTAGAAGCTAAGTTCAGTTTAAACTTACTTTGAAAATGTACCCTCCTCATTTTTCTTCTATATGTTTAGATCGGGTATATATAATTCCTTTTTCTTTTATATATTCATATTAGGCACATCAGGTCTTGCTCGAAGCTGGAAGCATCCTGCTGGACTGTAGTTCTGAGAAGGCATTTCTATATGATTAATGAATGTAACATGGTTCAAGCATTAATTAAATACGTGTTTTTAGAACACCTACTTCGTGCCAGGTTCTGTGCTGGTGTTGAGGACAGGGCAGAGACCCAGGCGGACATCACCAGCCCTGACCTGCAGCGTTCTAGTGACCTGCTTAGAGATAGGATTCATTCAGGCCTGCCTAGGTTTTCTTCTTTTTCTTCCAAGAAGTCAGGCTTTTCAGATTGTAATAACATACTTGCAGTAGACACTTGTCAAGTTTGTGGCTGCCCAGCATCTTTTGGGCACTTTTCTTGTATTTGGGGGTTTTCTCCAAGATACAATTCCTGCCTCCCTAAGACAGAAGCCAGAACCAAATTATACAGACTTTCTTGAAACTAGAGCACATACAATGGCCTAGCTGTTGCCAGTTGGGGCCCACAAGACTCTGATTCAGAAGACAGCGAATCAAGGATGCAAGTTTCACGAAGACTCCGTTTTAAAGAGGGGGTGAGAATGGAAGAATCTGGCTTTCCAGAGAAGCACTGGTGAAGTTTTTGGCACCCAGTGTCCAGTAGTGTGAAGTGTCTCACTGAAGCTGGCACATAGAATGGTTTGTGTCGGGCTGTGCGTATTGCAGGCCTCTCTGGCCATACCAGAGATACTGTGAGCTACCTAAGATTCTCAATTGCTTATCTTTTAAAAACTAGTTAGAGTGAGTTCTATTCTTTACAAAGAACTGTGCTACTGTTATGTGCAAGACTCTAAGCTGGTATGTCCTATGTTACTTTATTTATTTGTTTGTTTTAAAGATGTTATTTATTTTTAGAGAGAGGGGAAGGGAGGGAAAAAGAGATGGAGAGAACATTGATTGAATCGGTTGCCTCTCATAGTCCCCTGACTAGGGGCCTGACCTGCAACCCAGGCGCGTGCCCTGACCTGGAATGGAGGGTGTAACCTTTTGGTTTGCAGGACTACAATGCTCAATCCACTGAGCCACACTAGTATGTTACTTTATTTAGACTTCATAAACATAATTTAAGTATACATTATTATATATTTTACAGATTTAAAAAACCTGAGATTCAAAAGGACACAATTCATTCTACAAATATTTACTAAAGGCCTGTTCTGTACCAGACACTGGGACTACAGTATTGAACAAAATATTTCCCTGCAACTATAAAAAGAATGGCATATTGTATTTTAAATGTCCCCTTACCAAAATAAAAGGCACAGTACAGCAGCTGTCTGGCGAGAAAGACCTCTGCCAATCAGGTTTCATTTTAAATATAGAAAACCCCTAAAAATAGCCTCCCTCTCTCAACAGGTGATTGGCTCCAAAAAGAGGGGAGGATAATCTAGACCTTAGTGAAGGAGAGTGAAAGGACAGTGCTGTTGTTCCTAGCTTCCGTCGCTGCGATGGCTCTGCCTCTGAAGTCCTTGAGTCGGGGCTTGGCGAGTGCAGCCAAGGGAGACCACGGAGGGGCAGGAGGTGAGTGGGGCCAGCGCCTGACACTGCGGTTTCTTGACCTTGCGACACCCCCGGCTATTCCCCTCCCCCGCAGCCCTGAGGCCCTCCTGGGGCCTCTCTCACCTCTGCCTCTGCCCCTTACAGCCGGCACCTGGCGCTTCCTGACCTTCGTGCTGGCACTCCCGAGTGTGGCGCTCTGCACTCTCAACTGCTGGCTCCACGCGGGCCACCACGAGCGCCCCGAATTCATCCCCTACCACCATCTCCGCATCCGCACCAAGGTATGCAGGCCAAAGCTTCGGCACTGGGCGGGAGCAGGCAGGATGCAGGGGGCCTGGGGCTGACCACTCGCTCTCCCTCTCTCCACAGCCCTACTCCTGGGGGGACGGAAACCACACTCTTTTCCACAATTCCCACGTCAACCCTCTGCCCACCGGCTACGAACGGCCCTGAGATCCGGGCGGAGGTCCCAGGCTCAATAAAGATGTGGAAATGTGTGTCCGAAGGCTCTGTGAGAACCGCGGGGCAGGCCGGGGGCGGGTGACCACGACGCCACAGGTGGCCCAGAGGCACGCACACACTGCGTGCTCTCCCCGAGGCCTGATCTGGGAGCGGCTGGCGGGGGACATCATGCGTTCTTGCTCAGTATTAATAATTAGGGCTCTGGGTTCTAAACAGCTTTCACGAGAAACGGTGTGACTTCCGACTAACTGGAAACCACCCTGATTTCAAACATAGGGTCTACGGCCCTATAATGTGAGGCTTCATGACCTAATTATGAGTGTGGAATTTCGGTCATTCTTCATGACCACCTTTAATGGGTCTCCTGTGTTCGTTTCGGAAATCCGATGCTCCTTTATGGAAAACTGGCTCTTCTAGCTTCTGGGGACCCAGTTTGAGGGGGATGTTGGTTCAAACCAACCCTGGACATTTCATTCAACTTTTAAGACAGTCTTCTCACTGTCCATTGCCAAAGAGCGTGAAGCCTGGGCTGAAACCCATTATCAATACATATAAAATATGTCTATGGGCCTCCTTCCCTGACAATACTCACTGCACCACTAAGAAAAGATGATCACAGGCCTCAGTCACCTGAGAAAGAGAGAGAGCATTCTCGATACCCACAAACAGGTTTACACAGCCCTTTGTACAATAGCACTCAGGCCCTGAATTCGAGCTCCTTCGTACAAGGGAAACAGATTATAAACATCCTCGTTTAATGTGAAAATTCTCATACATAAAAAAATTTATGCTGGCATTATGCCTGCTTCATTAAAAAGTGGATTATCACTAAAGAAGTTTGGCAGATACGTAAAAACGTAAAAATCTTTCTCAAGGCCTTGGGAAGATGGTGTAGTACCTCGTAAACTGCTCAGGCCAGTCCAGATCTATGCAGAGGTTATTCCCACAGAAGCAGATACATAGGCTAAGGCAAGACCAGGATATGGGGGTAGACATAAACAGGGAAGTAGATTATTAGGACAAAGGCAGACTTGAGGCCTCCCCGCTGAATGTGGCAGTGTCTTCAGGCTTGTCATGCATCATTTCTTTGTACTGACGTTTGAAGAAGCCAAGCTATGAAGGGAAGTAAATCAGAAAATTTGGGTAAGAGGGCAGGGAAGAAAGTTAGAGTAAGGAAGAAGCTGAGGGAGAAGAAGGGAACTTAGCTGACTTGTCTGTGTGTGCCAGAACACTTATGTAAATAGGAGTTATCGTGCTGGGAGGATCTACTATGCTCCAAGAGCAGTGGTTATACACACAATCCAGAGCAGAAAAGCATAGGTTCTGTGGTCAGGAAGCACTCCCTACATACCCTAGCTGCACTTCTGTCTTGCTTCAGGCACTCTGTGGGGTAAGCATTATTATGATTTCAAAAATGGGGAACAAACCCACAGGGGTTGAGCAACTTGCCTATCATTAAACAGTAAGACAGAGACAAAATGTTCACGCAGGCCTGCCTGATTCCATTGTTTGAGTTTTTACTGCTATACATATAATCCTGTCTGTGGGGGGCCTTGGGTTGGATGCTGTCAAGTGTGGGATGAACACACTTACCTTGTAGAGTGTCGCTGTGATGAGAGCCAGCAGCAGCAGTCCTCCCACAGAGCTGCCCACAATGAGGGGGATAGGATCATAAACCTTATACTCTTCTAGCACCATCTCCATCTGATTTGGGGATCAGAAAGTATCAGGCCTCTTGCTGTCCCAGACTCTACCCAGGTTCTCCGACCTCTAACTTTCTCCTCTGCTTCCCCGGGCCAAACCCCAAGAGCAGAGATACAGAAGCGCTCATGAGTTTAGGTGCAAGTGCCCCACCCAGGGACATTCGCCCTTCCTCCCTCAGGGCTTGTGAGCTCACCACCCAGCATCACAGATTCAGCGTAAGAAGCGCTCTCACCAACCAGGCTACTGTCTACCACAGTCACTACCTGGGCTCTCAAAAATGCCTCCTGTCCTGGAAACTGGGAATACACAGATCTGTTGAATACGATTTCAGCCACACTCACGACCGATATCTTCTTCTGCAATGTCTGTGAAAGAGAGCGGGAGAGCTGGGGAACTAGATCTGGGGGAAGCTCAGAGTCAGAGAAACATCCTAGCTTGATGGAGGATGGGCACAGACATATCAGGTACCACCTGAGTCTGGGGGAGGGACTCCACTGTTGGGCCTACACACCTGGCTGACCCAGCTGAAGCTGAGGTTGCCCTGCAGGATGAAGTCAAGTTCCTCCTGGATGCCGAAGGAGGGGATGTCACAGCGGAACCTCAGGCAGTCAGCAATGGAGCAGTCCTAGGGGCCGAGAAGTAGCATCAGGCCAGAGACAGAAGGGTCTGAAGGCAGAGGATAGCATTAAGCTGTCTGATTTAAGGGGAGCAGCCGCATCGGAATTCAGGAGAGCTGCTCAGCAGACAGCCACCTGAATGTCACACGGATTCCTGAGTTAAATTCCCCTGACGAGTGGCTTCAAGTGGGGGCAGCCAGAGCCCTCCTCACCAGCACACGATTCTTCTGAATGTGGGTCAGGAAGTTGGACTCTGTGGGCAATCTTCTCTCTGAAGAGCACTGAATGGGTGAGTTCTAGGAAGACACAGAGAGCAAGCACCTCAGTGGGGACATCAGAGACTCATGAGGGACACAAGAAATCCGGGCAGAGGGCATTAGTGAAGGAGCCATGCACAGTCCTTGAGTACCTGGGGGTGGAGGATCGTCACCCCTGTCCACACAGCCGCCTGGTTCAGCTCCACGGGCACCAAGAAGTTGACGCTGACAGGCAGGTCCCTCTGTCCCAGGTTGTTCACCTGTACAGAGGGCAGTGAAGGCAAACACCACACCAAATCCCACATCCCTCCCCAGCCTTGGGCTCCCGGGCCACGCCCCAGGCCACGCTCTTGAGTCGCCATCACTCGCCTGGTATCTGTGCTGGGCCACGCTGCTTCCCTTCTCCTCCGAGGCAGAGAAGTTGAAGTACTTGGTGGACTCTTCATGGCTGGGGAGAGAAGAGGCATGGGTGGATTTGAAGCCCATGGGGGCCCCCTGAGGAGGCTCTGGCTGAGAGCATGACAGGACAGGTGGTCAGTGGGGTCTTGGGGTACCCTGGAACGAGGCTGACTTGGGGTACTGGGAAGGTTTAGGGGGCAGGGCTGGGCTTCAGGCTGGATGCAAAGTGCTTGCGGAAGCTGCCGGCAGAGGAAACCGCCAAGGTGGGGTTGGGCAGGGGGTGCTGTGAAAGGGACCGAGAGTTAGGCCCCTGACTGACTCCCTGGGGGAGTGGCAGCCTGTTACTGTGCCTGTTTTCCTCCCAGGCCATCACGGGCATGCAGGGTGTGGTTGGTCGTGTGGGACACAGCACAGGTTCGGGGAGACTCGGGCTGGCGCTGTTGACAAGTCTGCTGGTCGCTGCGCCTGCCTGGTCTGCCACGGCCTTCCTTAGGGCCCTTCTCTGCTGCTTCCTTGGCTGCTCTGGGCCTGGGGCTTAGAGGTGGGGGAGAGCCCACAGCGGGCTCTTCACTGCGTTTCAGTGAACAGCGCCTCCTCAGGCCGGCCGAGGCCCATGCCTGAAGACCCAATGGCCAACCTGGCCCCTCACAAGGGCAGCAGATTCCACCTCTGTTCTGCCTTGTCCCCTGGGGACCTGACCTTTGCCTGCACAGTCCAAAGTCTAGACTACCACTCCTACTCTGAAGTCACACCCCTGCTCTGCCAGTGGGCTCCCCCAAAATGCCCACTCTCGTCCTGAGCGCCCCCCTGATGGCCCTTCCCACCGAGTCACATCTGCAGAGGACAGCTGAGCATGTGTAGGGCCACACATGCTTAGACGTGGTGTGCTCTTCCTGTGAGCGCCCTGCACGGTGTGCTAAGCCCAGCGCAAGCTCCGGCGAACGTGCTCAGAGCATGCAACTGGCTGGGCGGCTGAGAGACCCCAGTGTGCGGGTGTGAATGACGGGTGACGCTCTGGGCAGGAGGAGGACATGCAACGAGACACCCTGTGCAAGTAGCGGGGGAGTATACCAGGCTCAGTCACATGGGCCTATTACATACCGCCAGTGCATACCTCCCACAAGGGCAGGGGGTTCTGTGTGCTTTTGATTACACATAATAGAGGCTCAATAAGTCTTTGTCAAAGTCAATTAAATTTATGGAAAGCTACCAGGACACTGTGCCTGAAACATAGCAAACGCTGGGAAGGTGTCTGCCCAACCACTTGACTCCCAGTTTCAAACACCTCATTTACCTCTCCTTGGACAGCACCGTCAGCTCTTCCTTGACACCCCGCCTCGGAAGCAGGCAGGTTATTTCTCCCTATCCTTCCCAAAGGGGACGGGGACGGCAGGAGGAGTGGTTCTGAAAGCCCTGCGAGTTGTAAAACTGTTCTTTGCGATGAAGAACTGTCCCACCCAAAAGCCAAGGGCCAAGCCCCGTGCCACAGAACCTGTCAATGTTTAGCTGAGGCCTCCCCTGACAGGAGGCCCCTAGAAATTCACATAGCCTCAGGCTGCAGAATAACCTTGCTCCCCAATAAGGCTGTAAAAACCTTGAAGACAGAGACATCTCTCCTATCTCTTACGGAATCCAGGGCAACCTTGGGGCTTTGGAGAAAGGATTCTGAGAGCCGTAAGCTCTATCAAATGTAGAGTGTACCGATAATATCACAGTTCTTATTGTCATAGCTAGCCCACAATAAACACGCGATGACTGATTAGTCCGTGGTACTAGCAGCTACCACCTAACGACTGAAAGGGTAACGATAAAACCTAAATGTCCCAGATGTTCAGTGGCCGCAGGGACGGAGACTCTCCCTGAGCCCCCTCAGAATGATGGCGAAGAACCCTTTTCAGGTCTTGGTGTGGCACCTGCTGATCACGGTGTAGACAGCGTACTTCACCGGGAGCTCCAGCTGGAAGGTGGTCTTGCTGGTCCTGGGGGTGTTATTCTCACTGGAGAAAGGAGGAGCCATTACCAAGGGCTCCTGAAGAGGAGGCTGGGCTCGAGGGGGCA